AAATAAAACAGATAAATACTACGTACGCGCTGAACAGTGGGCAAAGAATTATTATCTTTGCAGGACATCATATGCATAGCTAATTGTTTTCTAAATTCAAGGCTTGATATTTTATTGTTGGTGAGACTATTATGCATTATCCAGGCATTTACGACAGCAGTATTCAAAAAAAGTTGAAATACAAGTTTTTTATACCATTTGACTGATTTACGTAAAGGATTGCAGTATGACGACATTTGATCGGAAACATCTACGTAAGATTTTCCTTCATTGTAATCTATCACAATTTTTGGTTTGACACAATCATACCCCATTTTCCGTATAACGACAGTTTCGTCCGAGTGCTTTGTAGATAATAAAAGGACGTCACGTTTGTCTTTCCATTTTAGTACCGTTAATCCATCCAAACTTTCTTTTGCAATATATTCGTTACGCATTAATTTTTTTGCGACCAAATCTTTTGGAATGCCGCGGCGATTCGACCGCATTGTTCCAATGAGATGAGTGTCTCTTGCAATTAGTTGCCTAGCCAAGTCGATACTTGTGTACCAATTATCGGTACACAGTGTATGACCCTTACCAAATATGTTCTTACACAATGATAAAACTACATTTGTGGGCGTTGTTTTCTCCGTGTCTGATTTTTTCCCGCAATAAATTTGAAAATTGACCGTGTATCCCGGCGCCGAACATAATTTCAATATTTTTATACCGTGTTTGTGTCGTTTTTGCTTTATGTACTGCTTGAAGACGATGCGACCTCGAAAGGGAATGAAAGACTCATCCACGCAAACTAATTCTCCTGGATCATACAGGGTGGGCTATTTAAGATTTGGAATTTGAATCGGTTATAAAAAAAACAACTAATGAATATTTTTTCAAAGTTATGAGTTTATTAGAAAGATTGAACCTTTCCATTTAGGAATGGAAGACAACATCATTCAAATGACTGCCACGGCTAGCCTTACAATACCCCATTCGATCAGTCTAATTTTTCAGTACATTTTCGATTGTTTGGGCCTCTATTTCGTCAATGGCAACTTCGATTTCATGTTTCAAGTTGTCAATCGTCTCTGGATGGTTAGCGTGACACTTGTCCTTAACGGCTCCCCACAAAAAAAAGTCCAACGGAGTCAAATCGCAGCTTCGAGGTGGCCAATTGACATCAGCATTTCGGCTGATTATGCGATTTTCGAAAACAGTGCGCAAAAGATCGATTGTTACGTTGGCTGTGTGGCACGTTGCGCCGTCCTGTTGAAACAAAATGTCGTCTATGTCATCCTCTTCAATTTTGGGAAACAAAAAATCGCTTAGCATGGCGCGGTAGCGATCGCCATTCACTGTAACGGCGTTTCCTTGCTCATTTTCGAAGAAAAATGGCCCAATAATGCCGCCAGATCAAAATCCGCACCAGACGACAGTCACTCGTTGTGGATGCATTGGTTTCTCCACGATGACGTGTACATTTTCTGAGCCCCAGATACGACAATTTTGCTTATTGACGTATCCTCCGAGGTGGAAATGAGCTTCATCTGAAAAGATGATTTTTCGGTAAAAATGCTCATCTTCGATCAAGCGGTCTTCGGCCCATTGAGCAAACCGAAAACGCATCGGATGGTCATGCGGCTTCAGCTCTTGCACTAATTGAACTTTGTACGCATTCATACCGAGATCTTTATGCAAAATTCTTCTCAAAGAAGTGCGTGAAATGTTCAATTCTTGAGAACGATGACGAGTTGATGTTGATGACACTCTGAGCAACAGCAGCGATGTTTTCGGTTGAGCGCACTGGACGAGTACGTACACGAGTTGTTTTATCCAACAACGATCCAGTTTCACGAACTCGCTTCATAAATTGATCCACAAACTGCGTTTTTGGCACATCCTTTTTGTCAAATTTTTTTCGTAAATTTTTTACAGTTTGAGTAGAAGACTCACCACTTTGGAAATAAGTTTTTAATATTTCCCAACTTTGTTCAAGCGAAAAGCGACCCATTTCATAAATGTCAAAGATGAAACTAACTTTCTGTCACATCGGAAATGTCATCAAACCTTCCAATCTCAAAATAACCTATAGTTCCAATTCCAAACGTTAGATGGCCCACCCTGTATATACATTTTTGTAGCGAGGTAGCTAAATCTAAATATTTTATATTAAATCTTAATTATACCCGGCCTGATATCTATCAGGAAAACGCACTTGTCTACGCGGACGCGTACTATGGGAATAGCTTCTATGTTGACGGCTTCTGTTTGGTGCTGGTTCCTGCATTACCGGCGGTTCTTCCGCCGCCCCTGTTTCTGCGGGAAGATCGGCCGATGGTCTCGGGATGCTGGTGATGTTCTCAGCTGTTTGGTGTCAATACTTACAGCTTTTAGTTCGTCTGCGGTTGAAAATGTACGATTATTTGCAAAAATTCGTCGTACCAATATTCCCCATAAATTTTCAATTGGATTTAAGTCAGGGGAACGTGCCGGCCAATCTAATAAACGTATGTTATTGCCGGAAAACCATCTGAATGTGTGGGCAGATTTATGTATTGATGCGTTATCTTGCATAAATATTAAATTTTCGCTATAGTTTTCTATCCAAAAAGGTAATAAATAATCTTCTAAAGTATCTGTATAATTGGTACTATTCATTTTATGTGAAATAAAAGCTATGGAGCTTTTGCCATGGGCCGAGAAACACGCCCAAACCATGACTGAGCCACCACCGAAATTGCGTTTTGAAAAGTATTTGACATCCTTTCGAACATCATGCCAATACGAGTTGAAACCATCTGGTCCATCTAGATTAAATTTTTTTTCGTCACTAAACACAACCTACAAAAATAAATTGTATTAACAAAATATTCGTTTCTTAGAAAGCAGACATTTTTACTAACGTTTTCCCAATCCATATTCATGTTCGCTTTAGCGAATGAGAGTCTTGCTGATTTATCCGCATTTTTTAATTTTGGTGTCGACATCATTTTCGATTTAACAATGTACGGAGATGTCACAATGGTTCTATAAACGGTACTTTTTGAAACAGTTAATTCGCAATCATTTCGTATTTGAACCAAAGACATTGTGGAGTTAGAAGCTTTTCGGAGAACGTTGCGTTTATCTCGAGGAGATAGTTTTGAAGGGCGGCCTGGACGCTTTTTCTCTCCATGATTACGTCGTTTACTTACATAATCAGCAATTGCACTTTTCGAACGACCTAAATGCTTTGCAATATAGCCATAACCTTTACCTTCAAAATATATTCGTTACGCATTAATTTTTTTGCGACCAAATCTTTTGGAATGCCGCGGCGATTCGACCGCATTGTTCCAATGAGATGAGTGTCTCTTGCAATTAGTTGCCTAGCCAAGTCGATACTTGTGTACCAATTATCGGTACACAGTGTATGACCCTTACCAAATATGTTCTTACACAATGATAAAACTACATTTGTGGGCGTTGTTTTCTCCGTGTCTGATTTTTTCCCGCAATAAATTTGAAAATTGACCGTGTATCCCGGCGCCGAACATAATTTCAATATTTTTATACCGTGTTTGTGTCGTTTTTGCTTTATGTACTGCTTGAAGACGATGCGACCTCGAAAGGGAATGAAAGACTCATCCACGCAAACTAATTCTCCTGGATCATACAGGGTGGGCTATTTAAGATTTGGAATTTGAATCGGTTATAAAAAAAACAACTAATGAATATTTTTTCAAAGTTATGAGTTTATTAGAAAGATTGAACCTTTCCATTTAGGAATGGAAGACAACATCATTCAAATGACTGCCACGGCTAGCCTTACAATACCCCATTCGATCAGTCTAATTTTTCAGTACATTTTCGATTGTTTGGGCCTCTATTTCGTCAATGGCAACTTCGATTTCATGTTTCAAGTTGTCAATCGTCTCTGGATGGTTAGCGTGACACTTGTCCTTAACGGCTCCCCACAAAAAAAAGTCCAACGGAGTCAAATCGCAGCTTCGAGGTGGCCAATTGACATCAGCATTTCGGCTGATTATGCGATTTTCGAAAACAGTGCGCAAAAGATCGATTGTTACGTTGGCTGTGTGGCACGTTGCGCCGTCCTGTTGAAACAAAATGTCGTCTATGTCATCCTCTTCAATTTTGGGAAACAAAAAATCGCTTAGCATGGCGCGGTAGCGATCGCCATTCACTGTAACGGCGTTTCCTTGCTCATTTTCGAAGAAAAATGGCCCAATAATGCCGCCAGATCAAAATCCGCACCAGACGACAGTCACTCGTTGTGGATGCATTGGTTTCTCCACGATGACGTGTACATTTTCTGAGCCCCAGATACGACAATTTTGCTTATTGACGTATCCTCCGAGGTGGAAATGAGCTTCATCTGAAAAGATGATTTTTCGGTAAAAATGCTCATCTTCGATCAAGCGGTCTTCGGCCCATTGAGCAAACCGAAAACGCATCGGATGGTCATGCGGCTTCAGCTCTTGCACTAATTGAACTTTGTACGCATTCATACCGAGATCTTTATGCAAAATTCTTCTCAAAGAAGTGCGTGAAATGTTCAATTCTTGAGAACGATGACGAGTTGATGTTGATGGTTGTTCACGCACACTCTGAGCAACAGCAGCAATGTTTTCGGTTGAGCGCACTGGACGAGTACGTACACGAGTTGTTTTATCCAACAACGATCCAGTTTCACGAACTCGCTTCATAAATTGATCCACAAACTGCGTTTTTGGCACATCCTTTTTGTTAAATTTTTTTCGTAAATTTCTTACAGTTTGAGTAGAAGACTCACCACTTTGGAAATAAGTTTTTAATATTTCCCAACTTTGTTCAAGCGAAAAGCGACCCATTTCATAAATGTCAAACATGAAACTAACTTTCTGTCACATCGAAAATGTCATCAAACTTTCCAACCTCAAAATAACCTATAGTTCCAATTCCAAACGTTAGATGGCCCACCCTGTATATACATTTTTGTAGCGAGGTAGCTAAATCTAAATATTTTATATTAAATCTTAATTATACCCGGCCTGATATCTATCAGGAAAACGCACTTGTCTACGCGGACGCGTACTATGGGAATAGCTTCTATGTTGACGGCTTCTGTTTGGTGCTGGTTCCTGCATTACCGGCGGTTCTTCCGCCGCCCCTGTTTCTGCGGGAAGATCGGCCGATGGTCTCGGGATGCTGGTGATGTTCTCAGCTGTTTCTGAGCTGTCGGTTTCCTCCACCCTGTCTTCGTTCAGGATGTGGGCTGGTTTCAGGCGCTCGACCGTGACCCTCGTCGCTTTGTCGTTCACCTTAATTACAAACGTCTTGCTTCCACGTTCGAGGACTTCGTACGGTCCATCGTACGTGGGCTGCAGTGGCGTTCTAGTCGCATCGTGTCGTAGGAACACGTACTGGCTGGTGCTAAGCTCCTTGTAGACGAAGGTACTCCTTGTACTGTGGCGACTTCCTGGCGCTAGTTGGAGTTGTTTCATCTCCCGTCTCAGCTGCGTCACGAAGTTGGATAAAGCCGTCGTTGCCGTGCTGGGTTTGAAGAATTCCCCTGGCAGTCGGATGTTTGCTCCATACAGCATCTGTGACGGGGTTGCGCCTAAGTCTTCTTTCCAGGCCGTCCTGATGCCAAGTAGAACGATAGGCAGAATTTCTGCCCATTTGTGTGTTTGGTGGCATTTGATGGCTGCCTTGATCTGCAGGTGTACCCTTTCCACCATGCCGTTTGCTGCGGGGTGATATGCAGTTGTTGTTAGGTGAGTCGCACCTGTTAGGTGTGTCAGCTCCTTAAACAGCTGCGACTCGAACTGCCTCCCCTGATCCGTTGCGTTTATCTCGAGGAGATAGTTTTGAAGGGCGGCCTGGACGCTTTTTCTCTCCATGATTACGTCGTTTACTTACATAATCAGCAATTGCACTTTTCGAACGACCTAAATGCTTTGCAATATAGCCATAACCTTTACCTTCAATCTGTTGTTATCTTCTTTGGCACGCTGTATCTCGAAATCCAGCCGCTCACCATAGCTCATGCCACACTTTCTGCTGTTGCCTCTTCCATTGGGATCGCCTCCGGCCACCGTGTATACCGGTCCACGCACGAAAGCCAGTAGCGGAATCTCTGTGAGATGGGCAATGGTCCGACTATGTCCACGTGGATATGTTCGAAGCGTTCGCTTGTTGTTTCGAACTTTCCTAGTGGCAAGATCACGTGTCTTGTCACTTTTGTCCGTTGGCATGGCACGCATGATCTTGCCCAGGTCACACAGTCTTTCGTGATCGTCGGCCAAACAAATTTTCCGGTGACAAGCTTCTTTGTCGCTCGAACTCCAGGGTGTGATAGTCCATGGAGGCTATCGAAGGCCTTCTTCCTTAAGCAGCTGGGAATGTATGAACGAGCTCTTCCATGCGCAACGTCGCAGAAAATCCCTTCCTCTTTGTCTGGCCATGTTATTTTCTGTATCTGTAGAGAGTGTTCTCGCGAACGTTCCCAGCTCGCACCCTATTGGTGCGTGCTTGTATTAATTTCTATTGGTGCGCCCTAGCTGTACGCTACACAAATAAACTTCTTTTGTGACATTTTCCCCTTTGTTAGAGAAATGCGGTGGCATGACATCACCCTCACTGGACACAACACTTAGCACGTGAACATTCGCCGGAAAATTCGTTCTGGATACAATGGGGATATCTTCAGGATCATGGGCGAGCCAGCGATCATTCCTTCGATTGATTTTCGCATCGACAGTAAAAATTTTTTCGTCAGAAAAAAACCTGAGGCGTCCGGCAGCATTGTTTCGTAAATTTGTTACATCCGGGATTCCGATTAAGGAATTCGGTGAAATAGCTGTCGCTATCTCGTCCGGTCGTCACAGAAACAATCTTTGCTTCCCACGCAGCACGTACGTCTGCGTCTGAAAGCGGGACTGCGATTTGTCGTCTTGGCTTGTAGACTCCGCTTATCTTGTTCTCTGAGGTCGGCGCTTCTGGTATGCTGATCGTGGATCGTAAGTCGTGATGCAGTGGAGAAGTGGTTCAGGATGTTTAATAACGTTGAACGTATGTGATGTATAAGGATAAATATGGATACAGATACTGGATACAGAGTTATTGTCGCTTGATATAGTAACACTTTGGAATTATAACATCGGATCGCGGTGGTCAAAGTAGGCTCTCGGGTGAGCACTACCGACGTGAGCACAGGCTGGCACAATCACATCGTTGTCATCAGAATCTTCGTTACTGCTTGTCTTATTAATTCTTTCAATATCTAACATTTGAAAGCTTGAAACATTTGAAACTTCTTCATTATTCTTGCTTCCACGTGAACTACTTGCTCTTTTCGTGTCTTCTCTCCTTCTCTTAAACATGATGTGGGGGTTGACAAAATAAAAAATCGTCAAGAATATTAGACTCTTTGTAGTGCAGACTGTAAGAAACGTGTCCAACTCGCGCAATGGAATAGTAAAAACTGAAGAACAATAGTAGAAAATTTCTTTCTTCGACTCTCCTAGTGCCTATGTTGGCTTAGGTTTTAGCTGTTATCTCTACCACGAAAATATCTCCTTTGTAGCATATGGCCTGCATTGGGACAAAGAGCCCAACTCGTGACATTCATATTTGGCCCGAGATTAAGACCACGAGTTCGACTCGTGATATTCAGGTTTGGTTCGAAAGTTTGATCACGAGTAAGACTCGTGATATTCATGTTTGACATGAAATTACGACTATGAGCCTGACTCGTGATATTTATGTTTGGCCCAAAATTCTCATCACGAGTCAAACTCGTCAAAGTACGGCAAGGGGTTAACATAATGAATTACAGATTCATGTATTGTAATTCTTGATGTAAGCTGTTACGGCGTACGCTTCTGTCCTCACATGGAGCGGTATGTCGGGTAATTGATATGGCTATGTGTTACTCTCGCCTTGCTGCAGTTCGCGAGCTTTAGCTCATCACTGCTTCAATCACAATTTTTGTTTATCTGTCTATACAGATATTTATTTCGTCATATTTTCAATATGAACTTTTCAAACTTTCAATTGGGTTGCTTAGCCGCCAGGTTTATAACCTGCGTTTGTCCTCGCAATCCATTGACCTGCGGTTGATTACTACGGTGGCCCCACACAGGTTGCAGTCCCTGTTTGATTCCCAACGGACCAGACGGTGCTGGATGAATGTTTCCTCTGTTGTCGGGGTTGTGCGTGTGTATTCAGCGCAGGCAACCTCGTCGTTCATTGTGGTAAAGTACGTAGACGTGGTGCAAAATGTGGTTATCAAGTGTTTCCAGTGAAATAAAAAAATTTGAGAAATATTGATGTGCAAAGCACTTAAACAGGGCAGATAAACTTTAGCTCTTTTATTTAAATTTTATGTTGTATATGTACATATTATCTTATATATACATAAATTATTCTTGCAATTGGATGTTATCCTCATTCTGATTATTACAGTACATAAATATAAAAGTATTTGCAGAATAATTCACTAGGTTAAACGTTACCACTGTGTCTTCAAACTTTTAAACTTTATTCGTTTTACTTTTCATTTTTAATTATCCTATAATTTCTCTTCTTAACCTCTCAATGGAAGTGTCCCGTTGCCGAAAATAATATCTGGAAAAAAACATACACATAAACAAAATTATAGTCAAAATTACAATAATATAAGATATAATATAAATATTATTGTAAATTTACCTTCTTTGTTGACAAGAATATATCCATCTATGTAAAATATCTTGCGGAAGAATTATACAAAGCGAAACAGTAATAGTAAACATATACAAGAGGAAATACACTTTGTGGAAATGCACGCGGAAGAAATAGCACGCGATTCTTATTAGTAATGTTACGGCTTATGCCTGTGTCCTCACACGGAGCGAAATGTCGGTTAGTTGATAGGAAATTGGAACATTCAACGTATGTTAACACTAAACCTACCGACACTTCATGTATACCTATTCCTACCGCGACCGATCAAATGACCGGTCTTTAAAACAACTTATATTTCTTAATATACAATAGAATGAAGATAATAGCCAATTTGACAGTGCAAAAATATAGTTTATTTTATTTAGAAGTAAATAATGTACATTTTATTCGTTTTCACCGCAGTTTTTACAAATAGGCTTCTCGATTGCACATTTTCGACATACGTATTTTTTACATTTTAGACAGATTTTGTTAGTCTTATTGTTTTTGCAATATCTTATCTGGCATGTTTTCCGTTCATCACGTGAACCTGTACTTACAGTGAGTCACAGCCAAAATCGTACATCACATATACGAATACGTTTCATCTCGTGAAAAAGAGTTTTCACCGCAGTTTTTACAAATAGGCTTCTCGATTGCACATTTTCCACATACGTATTTTTCACATTTTAGACAGATTTTGTTAGTCTCATTGTCTTGGCAATATCCTATCTGGCAAGTTTTCCGTTCAAATGAACCTGTACTTACATTTACATATGACTGTCTTTGCTAGATCTTCTTTGCCTAGTGCGTTGCTCCTTTTGATATTCGGTGGCAAGTTCTTCTTCTCCTGATTGAAATAAAAATTCTTGCCTCTTGTAAATGTATCTGTATTTATTATGTAGTAGTATCAAAAGGAACAAAGTTGTCTAAATATAAAAAAAACAAAGTTACTATGATTCAGTCTGGAAAACGTCTCACAGCTAAAATCGTACATTTGTAGAAAAGTGACCAACAATTTGTTTAAATTAAAAATTAGTATTTTGTTGGGTGCCCACGACTACATTCGTGGCATCCTATTCCGTTGGCACGCAATCTATTTGGCATAGATTTTACCAATTTTTCAGTAAAACTGGGTTCAATTTTGCTCCATTCCTCCATTAATAACCTTTTTAAATCATTTTTATTTTTAATAGTATGTTTCAGGATTCTAATCTCTAATTCATTCCAGACGTGCTCTATCACGTTCAAATCAGGTGATTGTGGAGGTGTGTTTAGTACTTTAGGGCAATTATACAGTACCCACATTTTGGCTACATGCGATGTGTGTTTGGGATCATTGTCGCTATAAAACTTAAACGAATTCAAAATCCCCAATTTTTCGGCATTGTCCCTCAAATTGTTTTTCAAAATATTTATGTAATCATATGTATTCATATTACCTTCGATGAATGCTAAGTTACCCACTCCGGCAGCGGACATGCAGCCCCAGACCATTACTGATTGCTCTCCGTGTTTCACGGTACTGTTTAAATTTTGTATTTTAAACTCCTCATTTGGTCGACGCCACACCGTAATTTTTCCATCTGAATGAAATATGTTAAATTTACTTTCGTCCGTAAATATAGTTTCTTTCGTCCGTAAATATAGTTTCTTTCCAAAAATCAAAATCTTTGTATATACAGTGCTGGGATAAAGTATTGGCACTCTGTACTCGGGCAGAAATAAAAGTAATTCTGTACTGAAAAATGAGCGAAAAAAGGGATTTATTTGTATGGAAATAATAGTATGACATATTTAGAATAAATGCACGTAAATGTTGACACAATAAAATGATTTATTCAAAGTAATGATGAATATGTGTGACTAGAACATAAATAATAACTGTGAAAAAGTATTGGCACGAAACGAAACAACGAAATTGAAACAAAAAATATGGTAAATATCAGTATTTGGTATGAAGTCCTTTATTTTTAATAATTTCTCTTATTCGTTTAGGCATGGAATGAACCAGTTTCGATGTAAATTCCGGCTGAATATTATTCCATTCTTCCAAAAGTAGCTGCTTTAATTGATTTTTGTTTGTAATGTGATGTTTTCTTAATCTAACTTCGAGCTCAGCCCACAAATGCTCAATTGGGTTGAGGTCCGGTGATTGGGGCGGTGTTGGTAATGTATGGGCAACATTATAAGCAACCCACATACGGACTATATGAGCTGTATGCTTTGGATCGTTGTCACTTTGAAAATAAAACTCTCGTCCAAGCCCTAATTTCCCAGCACTTTTTTTTAAATTGTTTTTTAAAATGTTTAAATTGTTATAAAAA